GCACTCCAGTCTGGGCGACAGAGTGAGACTCCAACTCAAAAAAAAAACAAAAAAAACAAAACAACAACAAAAAAAACACATACACAGAGAAGAGAGAAGCTCTTGATTGCACATCCTCCAGCCATTGTCCAATTTTTCTCTTTATGGTCAACTCTCCGAAGACTGTCTAAACGCACAACTCCAGCTTCGACCCCTTCTCTTCCTACCTGACTCCTCTCCCCTCCCTGGTTCCCTGCCAGCTCAGCTGGCCAGCTGGCTATTCCTAACTCCCAGGCATGCTCTGCCTTGGGATGTCTGCACTCTGCCTCCGGGTATCGTGAGGCTCCTTCACCCCCTTAGAACTCGGCTCAGCTGTCACCCCGTGAGGCCCTCCCTCACCGCGCTATGTAAATTGCAACCCACTCACCCATCACCCCTAACGTTTCCCGTCTCCCTCCGTAGCATTTAGCACCGTCTGATGCACTCTGCTTGTTACTTGTCTGCCGAGTATCTCCCCCAAGTAGAATACTAGTTCCAGGAGAGCAAGGACTTTTGTCTATTTTGTTCATTGATAGATAGAACCTCACTTGCTCAGTCTCTAATGTGTCAATAAATATCAGGACCAATGGAGTCTCGTCTTCAGAGTCAGTTGGCTATAAATAAAAGAAACCCACTCACACCAACCTAAGTAAAAAGTACCAGGCGGATTCCAAAGAGTCGCATAGACCCCTAGGGGGAGGAGGCATAGCCAGAACAAGGGAAGCAGAAAGTCCTCAGGAACTAAGACGGTTCTCCTCTCCTCCGGCCTCATCTGCTGAAGCAGAATGGTCTCTACAATTCTGCACTTAGGTCTCCTTCTCCTCTCTCTCTGCAGACCAACTTTCTTTGCTGATGACCCAGACACGGCATCCCCAACCTCCCACCTCTTCCCAAATCAAGAACATTATCAATCATCGCAAATTGCTGCTTAGAGAAGGCTTCAGTCGCTTACCGTCCCCGTCCAGTGAACTACGGCCAAGCGAATGGGCATGTAGCCACTTACTAGTAAGAGTGGTTTTTTTAGTCTCTAAGAGGGCATTTTGTTCACAGGAAGACTACTTATAGTTACGTGTTAAGGGTAAGCATTTTAACTTTCCTTAAGTTTTTAACTAACAAATATTCTATTTAGAAAATTAGTACATTTTCGTAACTTTCAAGGGAGTCTTTAATGTTTGGTAGAATTCAGTTAAATTGAACAGACTAAATTTCTTTTAACAGTTCCTTTTACAATTCAAATTCCTTTAAATAACTTAATAGCATTTATATACATTTAATAAATCTGACCCTTTTAAACAGCACTTCAAGTGCTTGACCCAATAAACAAAACCTTCTCAAGTGCTTGCTTTTATAAACATCATAAATTAAAACATATAGTGATTTTCCAAGTTCTCTGAAACATTTCAGTATTTTTGCGGGCTTAGTAACATTTTAAAATACCTTTTAACTAAAAATCGCAAGTCTAAAAATCTGTTAGGCCTTTAAAATTGAGTCTTAAGGCAAATCTTGAGGCCAATTATGTTTAAACACTTCAAATAGCAAATGCTAGTTTGTCCCAGTGAATACAGAAACGATTCCCGCCGGGCACAGGGGCTCCTGCCTGTAGTCCCAGTGGCTCAGGAGGCTGAGGACGGCTCGAGGCCAGGAGTTTGAGACAAGCCTGGAAACACACTGAGACCTTGTCTTTAAAAAAGTTAAAGCAAAACACTAGCTGGGCATGGTGGCTCACGCCTGTAGTCTCAATTACTCGGAAGGCTGCAGCAGGAGAGTTGTGGCTGCAGCGAGCCGTGATCATGCCACTGCACCCCAGCCTGGACGACAGAGTGAGACCCCAACTCTTAAAAACTAAAAACAAAACACACAAAAAACGACTCCACTCCTGAATTTCACACGAAAGGACTGATGACTGCGGGAACTGTTTCCTTTTTCAGATGTTGTCAGCATCACATAGTTCATTTACGAACTGCAGTGCTCAGTGAAGGTTTAAGGGGAAGAGTAATTTTAGGTTCCAGCAGGCAAACCAGTTCAGCACTCGGATGACCGAGAACCCAAGCTTGGGACCTCCAGAGTGAATTAACCACTTCAGTTAATTCAGTGCTACAGGAGGATGATGCAACCTTGGAAGGTTGTGGCGAGCATCAAATGAAGTAACGGATGGGAATCCTTTGCCATGTTACGAGATGTATGGCAGCTTGAGCCTTAAGGGGAATTTCAACGTCTAATTTTTACTAGCATGTAAATTAACAGAATACTTACAAAGCTTTTATTAAGTCAGGGTCTCACTCTGTTGCCCAGGCTGGAGTGCAGTGGCACGATCACAGCTCAGCACCGTTGCGACCTCCAGGGCTCGGGTAATCCTTCTGCCTCAGTCTCCTGAGTAGCAGGGATGACAGGCTCATGGCACCGTGCTAACTTTTTTTTTTGTGGAGATGAGGTCTTACTATATGGAATAGGCTGCTCATGAAACTTCAAATAAAAATTTTACTTAAATAAATCAACCATTCTCAAAACAAAAATGGTTTCTGATCTGGACTAACATCATCATTACTCAGGGCAGCAAACTGCTGGCTTTTTACGCACCATCGTGCTGTGTGATTGTTCACATCAGTTCAGGAAAGAGAAATTAGACCCTATTTCTGAGCATTTCCCTTATATACCAAGCATTTTTTCCATTTTAAAAAAATGTGAATTTACAGAACTAAAATTATGAGAGGAGACTCACGTTACAAAATCTTCCACTAAGGGGTCTAGCTCAAGACATTTTTCCTTACAGATTATTAACTACTTGAGTTGGGGTAAGAATTGGGAAAAATGGGAGAAGTAGCAATTGTGAAATCAGAGTACTAAGAGTCACTATCCATCAATTATTTATCGGGAATGAATACACCTCAAAAAGCCAAGGAAAAAACCATCTCTTTACAAAAAAAAGAAATGTGATTTATACTGAACTTTCAAAGACAACTATTTTTCAAAGCAAATTGCTCTGAATTGATTCTAAAAATACAAGATGAGTGTGAAGAATGGAGGAAAAAACCCCTAAATACAGAGCAGAGAAAATAGTTTTCAGAGGGTTAACTGTAAGTTACATAAGTTTTACATAAGTTCCAAACATATGTAAAATAGACTGAAAGGCAATTTATTATAAATGACAAATTTGATCATTCCTGACCTGAAACAAGGTAAACTTGGTAGAAAGGCTGCGTATTGAAGGAAAGAAAAAGTGGCCCAATAAGGTTTAGCTGTAAACTTTGCTCTGATAAGGATAGTCAATACTAAAGAAAAACCTGGGATAGAGAGCATAATTATCTAGGTATCAAATCTGTCATCTCATACTCTGAATACACATCTAGCTAGTGGCAATGACTCAGAGCTGACCACTGACTTGCCACCCTCGGAAAAGATGCAGCCCTATTTCCAGCCGAAGCAGAGCCTGGGACCAAGACCAGTGGTCACAGGGGTCGGGGGGAGCTGAGTGAGAGCCAGGAAACCCCAAAGGCACTGATGAGAGCGAAGACAGTGTTTCTGCTCTTGCCATCCGTTTCTGCTGCTTTCCAGGAGAGAGGTGACAAACAAAGCTTTATTCCTTTGGCAGGACTCCCAGTTGGACCCTCTCCAGGGACCGTTCATATCTGAACTCCAGATCTCAATGCCTACGCAAATGTTGATACAGAACTTTGTGGCATTGAAATTAATACCAACTCATCCAAGGTAGGCATTGGCTGTGACCAAGAAAACAGATCTTCTAGCTGAAGATGCCTTTAAAAAATCCAACATATTACATGGAAAACCACATGTTAAAACAGGTACTTATTTTCCAATCATAGTTATTTGTCTCTTCCACAGAACTGGTTCTGTAAATAGTTTAAATGTATCAAAGATATTCTCTTGTCCACAGTCAACAGAGCCAAATCTATTCCAAGTTAGGAGTTCTTATGTGTCTTGTTAAACAGACACTATGATTCTATCTTCTTGTTTTCTAGAAATCCATCAGATGTATGTTCCAACACAGAATTGCTTTCTTTCCTTTTCATGGTAGCAAAAAGCATATCCATCATCCCCAAGGTTTCCAGTAATTCTCTTTGGTAATCAATCTCTTTTTCTACCAGTCCTTGAAGTAACAAAAACTTTTTGTCAACTACAGGGGACTGACCAATCACAGGTAGATATATATCTAAAGAGAGAGAAAGAAAACATTAACTGGAAACATCTTTCTATACAATAAGTGAAAAAGCAATAAAGTATAAGAATACTAAACATAAAAACACTAAAAAAAATCTGTACTTATTTTATAATTAATTTATGATTTATAAAAGTACTGGGTAGAGGTCCTGGTGTATTTTCATTTTCCCATTAAAAAACGAGTCATGGTTATTATAGATGTCTATGAAAAGTATTTTTAAGCATTACAATAACCCTAGTCCCATAAATTCAAAGTCACACTACTGTAAATATTTTACTACATTTTAAATGGCACTGATATATTGTTGTTTTCTCCATGAAAATCCTTACTGGAGAGTTGACAAAAACAAGATATTGTGACCTGCTTGATTTCCAAATTTGATTTAGTATTTGACATCTCTACTTTTGCAAGGTTTAACAACTGTCAAGGTTTATCAACTACTTACCGATAATTATTTCAGCAGCATTGATCAAAACTGGGGCAAATCTTGGCTGAGAAAGATTCCTACAAAGTAAAAATTCTGTTTAATGAAACTTGAAAAGTTAAAAAAAAATCCTTAAAACATTTAATTGTTCTACCAGTTCTCTACAAAGATCAAACTAAATGTTTCTGATTTGGTGATAGAGAAGGATTTTAGATGCAAAATACAAGTGTTTCACAGAATACAATTGCTTCATACCTTATCAAAAAATTAAGAACACGACTAATTTCCTTTTCATCCCGACCTGCAAGGGCATTTGCAAGAACTCCTCTTCGATTTAACTCCTTTATGATGGAAACTGTAATCTCAGGTGTCTTTAGTGTACAAGTGGGCTAGAAGAATTTTCAGAGTCAACATTAGTAGACAAACCAGTACAAGAAAAAAGCACTGTCTTGCACTAAATTACCAGTTTGGATAGGATCTAATCTTCACAGTTCAGAGTCATGCTAACATACAAGGCACATAATAAAATAAAAGATTCCTTAAAAAAATACTCACTCACAAGCCAGGCATGGTGGCTCACACCTGTAATCCCAGCACTTTGGGAGGCAGAAGTGAGAGGACTGCCTGAGCTCAAAGGCTGGAGACTGCCTGAGTCATTTGGCAAGATCTCTTCTCTACAATGTCATAACATTAGCTGGGTGTGGTGGTATGTGTCTGTAGTTCCAGCTACTTGGAAGGCTGAGGCAGAAGGATCACCTGAGCCCAGCAGGTCAAGGCTGAGGTGGCCATGACCATGCTCCAGCCTGGGCAACAGAGTGAGACTCTGACTCAACAAAAAAATGCCCACTCACCTCAAGGACTCTGTCAAGTGCCTTAGAGATCCGAAAGTTTTTCAGATCCCTGTCATACAATTCTAGATGTTTCTTGGCTGGCCTGTTAATCAAAATGTCATCCTGTATTGAAAAGTAAATTTATAGAGAGGAAAAATCAGTATCTGTATAAAGATATATTCAATATATACTTTATCTTAATGAAGTGGTATCCCTATATCACAAATAACAGTCATATGCCCATAATATATATTAAATAAAAATGGAATAATCTGCCACATCAGCGTGTTCTTACGCTCTGTAATGTAATGTAAGTTAACAACACATGCAACTGCCTCATTTTTGGGCAAAAATTATTCATTTCAATTCTCTTTGCATGGCAGGCAGTGTGATTTAGTAGAAAGAGAAATAAAACAATAATCAGAGATAATGAGAAACAGTCTCAACAACTTTGGATACCAGTAACAAAATCGTGGATCAATCACAACTTCTTTGTATCTCAATATTCTCAGATGCCAAGTGAGGACATAATGAGATCTGTGACTTCTCAGGGATATTTAGAAGATCAAATCAGGTAGTATACGAAAGTCATTATTTTGGATGTTGTAAAGCACTGTATAGCATCATGTGGTAATTCAGAGTATTAAGCAAATTAGTCTTTGTTCCCCATTACTCATCAATAAAGTCCCCAATCTAGCAATCCGGAGATAATTCTGATGCAGAGAAAAACAAATAAAGCTAAATGCCACATGAACTACACTTTCCAGTAATGTGCAGCGTGGAGTTGGCTACTCTAACAAATTTCACCTTTTAAACAAATATGAGAAATGCACAAATACCCGCTGCTTCATGTAATTTTTTCCTTTAATAAAGGTTCGATATGCAGGCCTTCTTCTCTTGGGAAGAGAATCCTTCTTTGCTTCAGATTTCCGATGTTTCACGCTCAGTATTCCATTGGTCATTCCTACAATTATCGTCTCATCTTCATGCTAACAGCAATAAGAAAAATGTTAGTCTATTTCTAACAAGTAAACTATATTACATTTACTTCAAAAAACACTTACAATGTATTAGCTGCTTATCCATACATTCACTACAGTTCCATCTGGATACAGATACTCTGCCTAAAAATGGTCTCTGCAAAATGTTAGAGCAAAACCATTTCTTTCTCTAGGATACCATTACATTGTTAGAACTTATACTTGTAAAATAACACTGGCAAAGTCTGAAATAATAATACACAGTTAGTGGCACAGTTGGTGGCATGACTTTCTATAATCTTGCCAAAAAAATTTTTAAAAAATAAGCCTTTCTTCTCTCAGTTCAGATTTCTATACTCTATAACACAGTCAAATGCCTTCCTGCCCAAACGTGGCACCTCATGAAACCTGACAGGACACATTTCAGAAAGAGGAGTCAGCAAAGAAAAGGAGCAATTTCACTTTGTTGCTCCCTTTTCCCTTTACCTTTTTTTCTGCTCAGGGAGCCAACCTGACTTTCTAGAGCATTATAATACTCTTGAGTGAAATGAGTTGGAGAGAGATTTATCAGCTTCCCAGGTCTTGTTCACGGTGCTGACAACGCCTCCAACACTGTACTTAGTCTGAAGCTATGCAGTAAAGTGGGACCTAAATCTGAACTCGTGCTAAGTTATCAAGACAGGTACTATATTCTAGCAACTGTCTTAATTCAAATATCTAATGCTACAGGACTTACCCCAGTCCAGAGATGAGCCCTGAAATTCCATTTTCATTTCATTCAACAGACAGGGTAAATGAAGTTTAAAGAAGAGGGAAAAGGACTTACTGCAAGGGCAAGACTCAAAATCGAAGCTGCGTAATCAAAACTGTGGACGACTTTGTAGGAAGTCGTGCTGTATACTTTAACCTTCCTGATAAAAAAGAAAAGCTCTGTCACAAATCATCTTGGAAATGAACATGAAACGCACGTTTTCTGTTTCTTGAAAACTCTAAATATGAATAATAAAATCTATACAACAATGAAGAAAAAGAATTAGGAATGTTAATTACAATCTAATCTGTCCCTAAATCTCTTAAAATATGAGCTGTATATCAGCACTGTTTCTATAAATACTTATAAAACAAACAGAAAGACAGAACATAAACCACTGTCATCTAAAGATAAAACTTGGAAGTAAAGAAAAAAATGTAAGTGAAAGCACATGTGAAGCCAAAAGAGCAGGGTTTCTCAACCTCAGCATCCCTGCCATTTTGGACCACAGAATTCTTTGTTGTTGGGGGTGTCCTGTGCATTGTAAGACGTTTAGCAGTCTTCCTGACCTCTATCCCCTTACAGCAATGGCACCACGACCTAACGTTGTGACAAAAACCAAAATTTTCTTCAGATATTGTTCAATGTTCCCCGGGGAACAAAAATCACTCTTGGTTGAGAACCACCAGAAATAGAGCCAATTTACACTTAGCTTTTAGGAACATATCTAAGAATCAAGTCCCAAATCGCCTAACAGCACTCTTTCAGAGAATCTGCCATACATTTACATAACACATTTCTTTGTATTACAAGTATTTTATTTCAAGACCAGCCTGCGCAACATGGTGAGACCTCGTCTCTACAATAAAGCAAAAAATTAGCCGGGGTGGTAGCATGCGCCTGTAGTTCCGGCTACTTGGAAGGTTGGGGCAAAAGGATCGCTGGAGCCCAGCAGGTTGATGCTGGGGTGGCCTTGAGCATGCCACTGCACTCCAGCCTGGGCAGTGGAGTGAGACTCCAACTCTAAAAACAAAAAAAATATTTTCAGTCAGGCACGGTAGCCCACGCCTGTAATTCTAGCAGTTTGGGAGGCTGAAGCAGGGGGGGACTGCTTGAGCCCAGGTGCTTAACACCAGCCTAGGCAACATAGCCAGACCTTGTCTCTACAAAAAATACAAATTAAAAAAAAATTAGCCAGGTACGGTGGCATGTGCTTTTAGTCCCGGTTACTTGGGAGGCTGAGGTTGAAGGATTGCCTGAGCACAGGGGGTCAAGGCTGCAGTTGAGCTGGGATTGTGTGACTGCACTCCATCCTGGGTGGCAGAGTGAGACCCTGACTCAGGAAAAAAAAAGGATTCTCTAGGTTTTAAAATATGTACCTCTTGGCTGGGCACAGTGGCTCAAGCCTGTAATCCCAGCACTTTGGGAGGCCAAGGTGAGAGGATTGCCTGAGCTCAGGGGTTTGAGACCAGCCTGGCAACTTGGTGAGACTCCGACTCCAAGAAAAAAAAAAAGTACCTCTTTATTACGGGTTCCACATCCAGATTCAACCAACTATAGAATGAATATCCAAAAAAAATAAACATACTGAAAACCAAAGCTTTTTATAACAGCAGGAAAAATAAAAAGACGGAAATAAAGTAACCAACAACAGACGAAAAGTAAACTCTGGAACTGTGCCATATGTCTAACCATATGAGGCTACTGACCATTTGAAATGCAGCTAGTGAAAATGAGAAACTAAAATATTATTTTACTTAGTTTTAATTGTTTTAAATTTTAAAACAGAGGCAGTAAATGTTAATTATTGTCTTGCAAGACATATTTAGATGCTTAACTTGTTTCTAGTATCACAATAACATTTATGTTGATTACATGTTGAAATATTTTATGCATGTCAAAAATACATATTTTACCTCTAAGTTAGATATTGGGTTACATAGTATTAAAATTAATTTTACCTGATTTCTAAAAAACTTTTAAAATGTGGGTACCAGAACATTTCAAATTACATATGTGGTTCATATAATACTCCCTCCCTCTCCCACTGAACAGCACTGTGCTGGTACCTTAATTGATGGAATACTAAATGTTGATTGAGAATAGCAGTATTTGGACCACATTAATATGGAGAAATGTCCACATGAAGATTTGAATTTTAAAAACTATAAACTAGAATATGCACATATATATTCACTGTGAAAATTTCAAAATATATGAATGTACAATGATGGTTTTAAAAGATGGTTCACAGAATAGCATTATTTAAGAGATTATCATTCAAATGGTTCAATAATATTGCTAAAGGACATAAGTTAAAACAAATTATATCAAGGGGGAAGATAAGTGGTTTTATATAAATAAAACTTTAAAATTATTTTTAACTCGACAGTTTCTTTCATAAAAATCATTATCAGAATATTTATCACAAATATTACTGAAATAACTCAATTCCTCAAGTGGTAAACACCTGTATGATGAAAACAATAAACAAAGAAAATTAAAATGCTAACCTATCCAGTGAGCCAGAGAGCAACCTCTGTCCGGAGCTGCTCAGGCATAAACACGTCACGGTTTTGTGATGGTTTCTCAAAGACACTAGCAACTGTCCTCCTTTTAACATGTCCCAGACTTTAACATAACGACCTCCTATAAAAAGAAATAACCATTAGTTTGATATTCTGCCACCGATTCAAAATTTTACAGACCTGAAAAGCATTCCTCACTGGATACTCCACACAGCTTGGAGGCTGGGTGAGGGATTCCAGAGCCAGACCAGCTGGTTTAAAGGCTGGCTCCCCTACTTCCTGGGTGTGTGTGGCTGACAGGAGCAACAGTTCCTATCTCATGGAACTGCTATGATAATTACATAGTCTCATATCTGTGAAGGGTACAGAAGTGCCAGGCACATAAAAGTAGAACAGAAAGAGAGCTCATTTTAAGAAAAATATAATAAAATCATTTTTAAAAGAAGTTCTGTATAACTATGGAAATGAATAATCCAGATTTTCAACAAAATATCAAGCAAAGTCTAGTACAGAAGACAGACATGGGTGGGGGGAGACTGATGTTCTCATCTACCCTGATGGGGAACAGGAGCTGGAGCCCAACTCTGCCCCCACCTCCCGACTCACGTGTGGCACAGGGATCCCAGTTTGAAACCACTGATCTAGACCGACCTCTCATTTTCTCAAGGTCTAGAGACTCTAAGGAACTGCTCAAGGTCACAGGACTAGCTGGTGGCACAGAAGAGAGATGAGCAAACAGGTTTCCATTCTCCCTGTTCAACTTGATCTTTTTCCATTTCTTAAAATAACAGCAAGACAAACATACACACCTGACACCAATGACTTTTTAAATTACATAGGTATTGGGGAAAAGAGTATAAAACAATATAATTTCTATCTGGATTTTAGAATTAAGCAAAAAAAAAAAAAAGGCGATATACACAGTGACATATATGCTGTCCAGTACACACACTACCTATACATTCTTCTAATGTCAACACATTTTTACTGTATTGACAAATGAAAGAAGCCGATTTACTTCTTCCATTATAATTACGAAAATGCACTATGCTCAACATGACCCAAAAACACCTCTGAGAAACGTATCAAGGTCCTTAACTTCACAACACCTCCTCTAGCAAGAGCAGCTATGAGGGCATTTCAGTCAAGAGAGTCATGTAAAAAGAGACAAGCATGATTCCAGACGTGAAGGAACCTGTTTCCAAAAGCTGCCACAGACCTCTTAGGGGAAAATTATAGGAATATGACCTAGATTTCTGGGGTCAAAGAAGATGGCACAGATTAAACACATAATGCAGGCTCTCAAGTTCTGTGATTTCAGGTCTGCCACTTAAGACTTTACCTTGGAAAAAGGAGTTAAAACTTTACAAAACCTTGTAGCACCATCTAGGGCATTAAAGATAATATGTATGTATATACTAGCACAGTGCCTGGCTCACATTAGGTACACAATAAGTGATAACTGTTTGCCTGTCCCACTTACCAACTGTTTGAGAAAAAACGATACACAATTCAAGTGCGCATTAATCAATTATAAATAGCAACTGATAAAAAAAAAAAAAGTCTGACTTGAGACAAACAATTTCGGTGAAAACAATCTTTAAAAGAAGTACCTGAGGACACCAGAAGCCCTCCAGAGGGGAAAAGCAGGACACTCTCCACTGGCTGTCCATGTTCCACAGAAAGAACACTCTTATTTGTTCGTGCATCAAACATCTTCACAGTATGGTCGTATGATCCTAAAAACATCAATTTTTGTATTATGTGAGTTTCACTGTTTAAAACAACAAAAACTATATGTACTTGTGTGTATCCAGACATAAATCTTAAAAGGGTGGGGGAGCTTAGATGGAAGCTTAAAAAGATATATGTGTATTCACGAAGACACAAACCTCCAAACCCTCCACCACTGACTGTTTCTGAAAAGCACTATACAACACTACACAGAATCTAACTTGCTCTGATCTGAAATTATTCCTAGCTTCAGACTACTGAATCATTGGGGGATCTCTGAAAAGGCACCCACAAAGGCTAAACTGCAGCATCTTTATTTCTTGGCTGCTGGAGGATCTCTGAAAACCAGGGTACTACCCATAACAGTTCTGACAGTCTACTATTTAAAGACAGCCCAATGTTTCCAAACAAATTTGGAGAACAATCACCACCAAAAAAAGAAAAAAATAAAACAGTTGATGAATCTGAAACATATTTCTTTAATAATAATAATTTTAAAAAAACTTAAACCCTTCCATCCCAAAACAGTCCCACAGCACCATTAAAGTTGATCGCAGTAAGACTATTTCCTTCAGGAGAGAAAACTCTGGTCAATGGGGAATGAAAGGAAGAAAAAGGAGAAACTTCTAGTAAATGTCTTTTACAAAGAAGAGGCTGTTTTCCTGTCTTCTTACTGAAGCCTGGTCATGGTGTAGGATATAGAAAAGTGGACAGCATCCTGGAGGATAGTAGGACAGATATGATATATTATCCATCCAATGCTAAGATGATAAATGATCCATTACAAAGCCCCTGCAACTTGCTGAGACATAAAGGTGAGAGAATAATCCATAGCCTTTGACCTTTTCAAACAGGGGTCCCTGAAGGACACTGAGGAGCAGTCACCTTCTTGTCCTGACTGGTTTATGAGGAAGAAGCACAATTCTACTTGTGTAAACTTTTGTTTTTGTAGCCTCTTTTATGATAGCTATTAGCCAGTATCCTAACTGGTCTGGATGCTCTTCCCAACACACACTCTTGTGAATCTCCATAGCCTTTTGCCACCTCTTCCTGCTTCTCCATTGGTATCCCTGACACCTATAAGAAAGGTTGCAAGAGGACACTGCTACACACTGGGTTGGAAATGGGGTCCGGCTGACCTGGGTAAGTATGGTGTTGTGGTCAGACTCAGTATTCTACAGTTGCGTCTATTAACCCAAGAATGTTTCCTCATCAAATCAGAATTTCCCTCTCACTTACTGAGGACAGTTTTTTCAAAGAGTGTTTATCGAGTATCTACTTTAGGTTGACTCATTCAGTTATCTGGAGTCTCCTACCTCTTCCTTTATTAATATGACAAATAAAGAAGTATGGTGTTTACATGAAGGAAAAAAAAAAGAGTTCACCAACCTGTTATAAAGAGATCCGGATTAAGTTTGCTAGCACATCCACACCTCACATAATCAGAATGTTCTTTAAATGTCAAAATTTCTTTGGAGTTTGGAATATCCCATAATTTAACTGTATAATCATCAGCCCCAGAGACCACATGGTATTTGTCAGCTGTAAAATCTACTGTATGAACTGCTCTAAAAGATCAAGGATCAGTATATTAAAAAGCAAGAAAAAATTTATTTTTCTAGTATCTTCTAACATAAAATGCTCTTTTTTCCCAGATTAAAAAAAAAAAAAAAAGCAGCTCAGTTTCAGGGAATATCCATAGAGGAAAATCATGAGAGGAAAAAGAAACCTTTATATAAGTGTTTGCTCCCAAGACAATTAAGAAATGTATATCCCCCCACACTATGAAGTTAGTAAGATTAAACAACAGCCTTAAAAGTATATTTTCTAATATGTTAATTCTACTTCGTTGCTTAATGAAAGTAAATGTTCTAAATGCTGGACAAAGGCATTTTTCTTCCATTTAAAAATTTTCAAAAAGTTCTTGAAAAAACTCGAACAAAGGTTGGGCGCAGTGGCTCATGCCTGTAATCCCAGCGTTCAGGAGGCGGTGGCAGGAGGACGGCTTAAGTCCCGAAGCTGGAGACCCGCCCAGGCAACACAGTGAGACCTCCTGTCCGCAAAGATCAAAAAACTAGCAGGGCGCAGTGGTGCTCGCCTGCAGTCCCAACTACTCAGGGGGCTGAGGTGGAAGGATTACCTGAGCCCAGGAGATTGAGGCTGCAGTGAGCCGCGATCATGCCACTGCACTCCAGCCTAGATGAAAGAGACCCTGACTCAAAACCAAAAACAGCTCTAAAAAGAGTTGCCACTAAGTAGAATTATGTAATGAATTTGTTCTATTTTAAATGTATCACCGACGGGGCAAAACCACCTGGTAAGATGTGATAAAAAACACTTTTGAGACTTTAAGTAAATAGCAAATTTCAGCAATAACATGGGTCATGCTAAAAACAAAGTTTTAATATAAAATTGTCACCATGTGCAGTGGCTTGTACCTATAATCCTAACTACTTGGAAGGCTGAGGAAGGAAGACTGCTTGAGCCCAGGAGTCTGAGGCTGCAGGGCACTATGACTGCACCACTGCACTCCAGCCTCGGTGAGAGAGAGAGACCTTGTCTCTAAAAAATAAATAAAATTGTGATGGCTATTCAATTTATCAGGGGGACAAAACACCAAAAACCCAGGAAGAAAACAAAATCCACCTTCCAACCTGATATCAACATGAGAGCCTCTGAAACAGTATAGAGCTCTCAATACTTGTAAGGTTGCCTATACATCAGTAATTCAGAACCTCAGCTGGGTCCAGACCCCATTGAGAAATTAATAAAAACTATAGAACATGTCCCCAGATAAATGTACAGTTTTCCTAAAATGTCGCATACAATTCTAGACAACTCATGAAACCCATGAAACAGGACATGAAACCCAAATTCAACACTGTCTTAGAACAACCAGGAGATACAGTAAATGAAGGTACATAATCATCATAGAACTGCTCTCTAGCTGTTCCTTTTTTTTTGAGTCAAAGTCTCACTCTGTTGCCCAGGCTGGAGTGTAGTGGCACACTCACTGCCACAGCTATAGTCAAGCGATCCTTTCACCTCAGCTTTCCAAGTAGCTGGAACTATAGGAACATGCCACCACATCAGGCTGAGTTTTTGGTTTATTGTAGAGATAAGGTCTCACCAAGTTGCCCAGGCGGGTCTCGAACTCCTGGGCTCAGGTAATCCTCACCTCTGCCTCCCGAAGGGCATGAGCCACTGCGCCCAACCCTGCTCTCCATGTTTTAATCAAGGCCCAGAGAAAGAGCAGAGCTTACAACAAAATAAAACAAAGAACATATAAAAACCAACTTTCTCTTACTTTGTATGGCCTTCGAACTGCCTGAGGGGAGCCCTCCCGCTTATATCAAAAAGCTGAACTCCACCATCCTCACTGCCAGCCACAATCAATCTACCATCCTGCCGAAAAGTTGCACAGTATGCTGTGTCTTTAAACCGAGAAAAAGTTTTTATAGGTTCTTGGGAGTATCTGCCATAAATGTGAATCTATAAGATAAAAAACAGTATTTCACCAGATGGCTCCAGATCAGTAGTAAAATATACAGAATAAAAATAAAAGAATGTCATATTATACTTACCCTTGAGGAAGCTGTGACAGCATAATTATATGGAGGCTGAGGAGAAAAGTCTACTTTTGACACTGCACCAAATTCCTTAATCTGAACAGGGGTCTTAATGAAAAAGAATAGCGGATTAACAGAGTTATAGCTGGTAAGACATATGTAAGCATTATTTAATTTCTTACAGAAAAATTCCATTTCTTTTTGTTCTTGGTAACATTCACTAGGTGGCATTTAATACAAAGCTAAGAAGAAAGCAAAAAAGGTCATCCCCCATCACCCACACACTCCCTGCTGCTGTTGAAGTAGACAAGCACATGTTTAGAAAGCCACATCCTACTCTGTCTCTTCAGTTGTTTACTGTGATTCCTACCAGAAAAAAGTTATACCTCTACCAGTATACATTTAACCACGTATTTTTAAGTTGACACAAAGATGATCACACCATGCAGGCCATTCCACATCTTGCTTCTTTTCACTTAATAACTCATCTTCGTTAACTTTTCATATGAACAATACATTTATCATCCATTACAAGAACATATAATTTACTATCCCAGTCTACTACTAATGAGCATAGCTTTTTCAAGATTCCTACTTTTACAAATAATTGTTCAATGAATATATATATATATATCTCTCTCAGCAAACTTTTGGAAGTAATCCAATGGAGCATGTTCCAAGCTATGAGTACAAGGCCAAAAGGTATGTTCATTAAAAAAACATGATAGATATTTCCAAATTGCCCTCCAGAAAGTCTGCATCAATTTCTCTCCCTCAAGGAACAATGATGCTCAAAATGTTTCATTTGTGCTAATAGATGAAAAATAGTATCTGAACTGCTGTCTTAACTTGCCTTTCTTTACTTACGAGTGAAGTTGAGATTCTTTTAATATATTAATCAGTCATTTTATTTCTTCTCACAAACCTCCCAATCCCACCCAAACTTTGTCCATTTCTCTATTTAGTTGTTCAGTTTTTAAAGAAATCATTTTTAAGCTTTTTCAGATAGTATAGAAAAACCAATTTCATATCACTTCTTCCACAGGTTAAATTCTAACACTTAGGCGGGCACAGTAGCTCACATCTGTAATCCCAGCACTTTGGGCCAAGGAGGGAGGATCTCTTGAGCCCAGGATGTTCAAGACCAATGTCAGTGAGACCTTGTCTCTACAAAAAAAAAATTAGCCGGACATGGTGATGCACATCTGTAATCCCAACTACTTGAAAGGCTGAGGTGAAAAGATAACCTGAGACAAGGAGGCTGTGGCTGCAGTGAGCTACTGCACTCCAGTTTGGGTGACAGAGTGAGATGCCAACTCATAAAATAAGTTAATTAACTACAATTTTAAAATGTAATTCATTTGACATTGATTAATCATCTATTCTATGCTAGGCACTGGTAGGATTAAGCTGATTAAGCAGTACAGACTTTCATACCAAATTCAAAGGAAAAACAGATAAATTATCTGCCCAAATTATAAGCTGCTGATAGAGTTATTTTTAGTTGACAGTACTCTGTCAGACTGTCCCAAGCATAATACATGCCGGAGACATTGGCATAAACATAAATCCTTCCTCCCCCATTATTTTCCATGCTCACCTTATAGTTGTTCCAGTACAGTGTATCTTGGGTGATTTTTTCACCAAGTACAGGATATGTCTGAATAGCAGCAGGCTTATAACCAGCCATAATTTAATATAATTACTGTTATCCAAGGGCTAATCGTTTGGAATTGATATGAGAAATAATTACAGTGACAATGCCTTAAGTCTGAAAAAGAAAAGAGTTATATACATTTTACCCATCGATGTGTACATATAGTTACGATTTTCATTCTGCCTTCTTTCCGAAGGCTGTATGTAAGTTTATAGATTAGAGGCCAGTACACCATTTAATTGTAACCCAGAAGAGACAATCTATAGGAAGCAGGAATTATACAAATAAGGGTTACTATGACATCATCTACTCAGCTGTACACAAGGCTATACACCAAGTGCCTCACATCTAACCATTTTATAACACTTGGGAATAAATCTGGCTCCGCTTCTAGTAGGTAAACCAAAAAGACACATGCTGCCTTAGAAGGTTCATTTTTTGACAACAGAAAACATTAAGGTAAAACTGCAAACACAAAAGTTTTCAAAGCTAAATCTGTAAGACATTTAATCTACAAGAATATAGTCTAGAGACTTGACTTCCAGAAAGCCTAAAAATGCAAAGAAGAACAAAGCTAACAGTCTAAGGTAGACGCTTTTAAATTTTTAAAAAGCTTAATATTAAGAGGTAATGTTCTGATATAGAAATGTATAATTAAATTAAATTTAAAAGGTTTAAATAGTAGGAGAGAAAACCATAAAAAGCAATTCCATCCAGTTCAGATACAGTTTCTCCTTTTCTTCAGACATCAGTGATTCAGACTTAGGCTAAGGAGCCAAGCCAGACCGGGCAGGAAGGCTCTGCAAAACCAGCCCCCAAGACCACCCTGTCCCACCCACTTCTTCATCTCGTTCCTATTCTCCCTTTGTAGAAGAGCTGACTCTGCCGGAGGAAGAGATGCAGGGTACTGACTGAAGAAGAGTCGTGGACAAAAATAAGATTGACCTCCCAGCCCAAATGGACCCTTCTGGAACAGCTGACGGACCTCTTGGGTAAGAAGCCCTCAACAAAATGACTGCCAGGGCAGGGATACAGGGTGGGAGTGTGCAAAGGCCCAGATCAGGAGTTACCTGAGGACATACATAGCTGGCCTGTGTGCTTCTAAGGGCCCTGTTTTGAGCTGATCTGTTCTGATTTATTTTAAACTGGGTAAGATTGGAGGGAAGGTGAGGCCATGGTCCCCTCAGCCCTAGGAAAAAAAAGAAAGGGGGGGTACTCTTTCTCCCTATTGTTTTCCTTTTTTCTTTCAGTTCCATTTGGAGTCTTGGGAGTTTCGATCATCTCCCCAGTTGCTCTCCTAGACTGTCTTTGTTGATTCAAATTTATAAATAAGGAAAATATTCAAAAAAATTAAACAATTTTGAAATTAAATTCTAAATTAAAGCGACAAAACAGGACAAAAATAAAACCTTAAAATAACATGGAGTTAAGCCATAACATCTTTTCAGAACTATTCAATTGCAAACGAGATTCGATGTCATCAGACGGATGATTCCGGTGGTGCTACTCATCCTCTATTCTTAAAACCCCGACATTACATCAGTAACACCACAACAGAGAGAACTGATGCATTTTGAAAGCCGTCTTCATGAAACAGAACAGTCACTGATTAAAGGGGGCACCCATTTCTGTTCATTCAAATACCTACCGACGTGCACGGCACTGTTCTGCACTGGGGATACAATGGTGAATCAAACAGACACGGTCTGTGCCCTCTCCATTGTGGTTGGTCATTGGCGCAGCTATTAATCTAGACTCTGCCTTGACTGCGCTCCCTCTTCACTTCTAACATCCAAATACTCAACAAGATCTGCTGATCTGATCTCTCAAATCTTTCTAAACTTCCTCATGTTCACCTCGCCCCTGGGGGAACCTCGTCAGCGAAGGCAGGGATGGAAATCTGTTCACTGATCTGGAGGGGTGCTGATGACTCCAGGAACCAATAACGGTGGACAGGAAAGGGCGTGATCGTAGGAGGAAATCTAGGTCGAGGCTAAACTGCGGGGAGCTTAGGCCGGTGAAGGAACTCAGCCATTCTCCGGAGCCCGGGAAGCCCCTGCAAACATGCCCGTTACCGCAGGAAGGCCGGTGTGCATCTGGGCTACCCTCAGTGAGAGCCGTCTTCACCTACCTCCGCTGGGCCCCAAGGGTCCGCCGAGTCACCCGGGCGCCAAAGAGAATTAACTGGACTCCGCCAGCCCCCTGACCGGGGCCGTTCTGGACCACTTGCGCAAAAATCACGTGGACCCGCCAGGAGCCGCGAACACACACAGCGAACCGAGCGTCGCGCGGAGATGACGCAACAGCGCGAGCTCACGGGGCCTACGCAGTCGGATGACGCAGGGCGGGTCGATGGGCGGGGCGCCCAGAAGGAGGCGGGGTCGGAGGGCGAGCCGGGGGCCTTTGCTCCACTGACCCGGAGCCATCAACTGCACTACTCGGGCCGGACGGGTCCCGGAGCGTAAAGGCGACTCAAGAAGAAGAAAAAAAAGAAAAAGAAAGAAAGAAGAGAAAACCTGGAAATCTCAGCTGCCCCGATGCGGAACGCTTTTTAGCCAGAAGGCGCAAGAAGAAACCGGAAGTGACGTCGCGGCCAAAACAAGCCCGGTGTGGGGGCCTGTGGGACCCTGTGGCCGCAGAGGCGAAGGCCCGACGCGCTCCCTGGCGTCGTGGGCGGTCGCAGGGCCCCGCGCGCCCACCCGGTCGGCCACCTGTCCCCGGGACCCACTCGCCGCGGGTGAGCGAGAGCGTCCGCCGGAGACTCTGGACACAGCAGCCGGTGGACACAGCGGACGTCCTTCCCGGCCGGCGGACCCCCGGCCTGGGACCCTGTCGCTTGCGAGGCATCACCCACCTTCGAGGCACCGTCTTCCCCTCGTTGGCTGTTTCCAGGATCGGGAGACCTGGGAGGCGAGAGGGACTGCAGTTATTCGGCATCCTCTGGCACCGTGGCGCACCTCGTCCCGTCGGGATCTCTCTCCCTTCAGACCTAGGCTCTGACAGATCAAGGTAATCCTAGCTACCCATCGCCCGCCTCTTTTTCTCACCGCCCCCTCTTCTTGGTCATGTCCTCCCCCCCTTCCTTCTTCAAAATGTTGGCTTACGAATCAACTTTTCTTCTGAGGCAGTAAACCCTAATATGAAAAAAAAATGGGATGTTATTAATCTTCTTCCTGTCCCAAATAATTAATGTATCTGGCACATTTCTGTAACTTGGAAAGGCAATCCATAACCTATTTTATTTTTCATAAAAACCGATAGAAAGTTGCTCATGCTTGTTTTGAATAAAAATTGATCAGTATACCTTCAGTTCATCAAGACCAAAGCCTTCGGAAGGTTCACAGTCCAGGAATCGCGGATGTGGTAGATAATGATGCCAATAAACTTGAGTACAACATGAGTTCTATCATTTCTTACATTCCAACTAAGAGCCACTTACGTAGACACCGCATATTAAAAAATGAGCCTCGGGTACGAGGTTACAGTTTGTTTTCATTGTTAGCCTGATCTTTGACCCAATATTCAGGGATAGGAAAGGGGAGAAATGGCAACTAAAATTTGTTGGAACAAGTGATGGAGAATGTTACTCTACGATACTTTGATTGGGTCTTTACCAGGGTCCAGTAAGGTTAATGGTGCTATCCCTATTTTACAAATGCTACTGAAGCTCAAAGAGGTTGAATAACTTGTACAGGTCACACAGCTAATAAATAGTGTTTCTCTCCCTCTGAATATTATATGTTTTGTTATGCATAGGTGCTTGTAAGAGCTTTGTTTGAATACTTGATTGAAAATTATTATTTTGTGTATTTTTACCTAAGTTAATATAGTGCTCTTAATTTTCTAATTTTTTTTAGATTTTTTGCTATCCAGATTTCAAGAATACACTGGATACCACTCTTATAAAACCAAGAGGCAATCATGAAGACTTGTTTTAATTGTTGAAACTACAGTTGAAATCATGGCTACATCAGCAAATCTGGATATTGGAGCCCAACTGATAGTGGAAGAGTGTCCCACCAGTTATAGTCTAACTGGCATGCCAGACATTAAAATAGAGCATCCACTGGATCCAAATTCAGAAGAAGTATCAGCTCAGGGTGTTGCCATGGGAATGAAGTTCATATTGCCTAACCGATTTGATATGAATGTTTGTTCTCGATTTGTGAAGTCCTTAAATGAAGAAGATAGCAAGAATATTCAAGATCAGGTTAACTCTGACCTGGAGGTGGCATCTGTCCTATTTAAAGGTTGAAAGTTATGGTATAAATATCTGCATTTGTTTTTGTTTATTTGGGTTTTTTTAAATCATTAAATTTTGAGTTTGGGAAGAGAGTTTGGATGTCATTTTTTATATGATTTCTAGACTCTCACAGAAAGCAAAATTAAATAATTTCACATTAAATGATGTCTATTTTAAAGGAAATGTATGTTGATTTTTTAAAAATTTCTTGCGTAATCTTTGTTTATTTACAAATTACCTAATAAAGCTCTGTATTCTTTTTAAATCATAAGAAAGGCCGGGCTCGATGGCATAGCCTGTAATCCCAGCACTTTGGGAAGCTGAGGCAAGTGGATTGCCGAGCCCATGGGTTCGAGACCAGCCCAGGCAACTTGGTGAGACCTTGTCTCCACAATAAAAAATTAGCTGGGCTTGGTAGAGCACACCTGTAGTTTCAGCTACTTGAAAGGCTGAGGCAGAAGGATTGCCAGGGCCCGGCAGGCCAATACTGGGGTGGCCGTGAGTGTGCCATGGCACTCCAGCCTGGGCGATGGAGTGAGACTCCAGCTCAAAAAAAAAAAAAAATAACAAAAAATGTCTCATGCCTTTTAGAAATGAATTATTCATTCCTAAATATTTCTGTTCCATGAATATTTCATTTCTGTTAGCTTCCTGTGCTTTAATGCAGTTAAGTCTGTCATTGTGCTCTAGATTTATAATGATCTGAATAATAAAAGTAGTCTCTTAGAATAAAATTGCTCAAGATTAATACATTTTTTTTCTAGAACTTCCACTATGATAGTGTAGGCATTTTATGACAATTTAATATCACTTGATAAACAGTCTAATTGAAGCTATTTACCTCATGTATCTTTTAATGTAGATTTTAAAAATTTACATAGAACTCATTGAAATGCTTTGTCATTGCAGCATTGTTTTAATATGTTTAAATTTATTTTTTATTTAGCTGAATGCAATATCCACGCATCTCCATCTCCAGGAATTCAAGTAAGGCATGTCTACACTCCCTCTACAACAAAACATTTCTCGCCTATAAAACAGTCAACTACTTTAACCAACAAACACAGGGGAAATGAGGTCTCTACCACACCTCTGTTAGCAAATTGTGAGTATTTGCCTGTGTTCTTATTGCTGATAGAACAGTTTCAAGAGTTTGACTTTAAGACGTTATTTGCATTGACTGTATATTCTCTGGATAGAGAAAATGTGTTACGTAGACTCGGGAACACTGTTCAGCCTTGCAAAAGAAGGAGATTCCGCTGTTTGTGCCGAGGTGGACGAACCTCCGGGACGTTACGCTCAGTGGGAAAAGCCGGGCACAGACCGGCAGGCACCACGTGATCTCCCTCCGTGGGGCACCGAAAGAGTGGGACTCATTGGGGTACAGAGCAGAACGGTGGTGACCCGGGCTGGAGGGGCGGGGTCTGAGGCAAGGGGAAATACTGGTCAAAGGGTAAAAAATTTCAGCTAGACGGGAGGAGTACGCGTTAATGGCCTGTTGTACACAGTGGTAAATATAATAAATAAGAATGCATTGTATATTTCAAAATTGCTAAAAAGTAGATTTTAAATGTTTTTACTAAGTAAATATGTGAGGCGATAGATTTGTTTAATCATTCCATAATGATTTAGATTAAATCCTAATGATTTAATTAAAGCTTGGTTTAATAATTCCATAATGTAAACATATATCAGAATATCACAGTTCTCCATAAATACATACAATCGTTGTCCGTTAAGAATAAATAAATACATATTCTTTTTGAAAGCATGAGTGATGTCCTAATAGTTTTAGTAATTGAAAACTTTTTCATATATTATTACATTTTTAAGTATTCCATGTGTTATGTTTCTCTAAGGGCAAATACAGATTGAAATATTAATATGAAAACACTTATAGTTTTATTCTAAACACAGTTATTCTGAATTCTTTGTAATTAAGACATTGTCAGGGTTTTCATGTTTTTAGAGTTTGGGACTTCACATTTTACTTATAAAATAAATCACTGATCAACTAATGATTTTGTAGTAAAAACTGAATGATCAGCACTATAATTTTGAATTTGATTACTTATGTAAGTTTGTATAGCATACTCAATTGCTCTCCTTCCTGTATTAGGACCATCCAGTTGTAGTATTGAAGTTATCGATCAAGTGCTACTGATTTTTTTTTTTTTTTGAATTGGGGGTTTCACTCTGTTGCCCAGGCTAGAGTGCACTGGCATGATCATGACAATCAGCTCACAGCAGCCTCGACATCCTGGGCTCAGGCAATCCATCCAACTCATGCTACTAATTTTTAAGGAGAACGCTCATAGAACAACACCTGCTTGGCGTTTTAAAATAAAGAAGTTGTCTTAAAATAGTCCAACCATAGAATTTTTGAGCAGAAAAGAAATACCTAGAGATCATCTGGTTCACATCCCACATGTTACAGACAAAAATGTTTAAATTTTTATCAAAATTTTAGTTATCAAAGATCACACAACTAATCACAGCTAACTAGAATTTACTCTCAAGGTCAGTTTTCCATGAATAACTTCACTCCTAATGCTAGGAAAAACTCATGGAGTCTTGAAATTAAAATATGTAAGACCTTAGTGGAGTTGATTAATAAAAAGACAAAAGGAGTGTCTTCGTGTCTTTCAGACTTGTCTTCTTCATAAATTTGGATACAGAGATAGCATTTTAAAAATCAAATGCCTAAACCATTTCTTCAGAATAAAATTTATGCATACTAGCAATTTGTAGACGTCAGAATTATCTTAAGTCAAGATATGAGTCACTTCTCAAACACAAAATGAGTACTGGTTGTGTTAGGATACACTTAGTGTCCGATTTTTAAAACAATAAAATTATAGTTTTTGTTTTGGGAAAGAAAATTGTGACCCAAACATGAACCGTGGGATGATGAAAATGTGCCCTGCAGACGTATACATGAGGCACTGATGTTGTTTCAGCTTTGTCTGTCCACCAGTTGGCTGCGCAGGGAGAGATGCTCTATCTGGCTACGCGTATTGAGCAAGGTAATAGCCCATTTTTACATATTTAACTAAAACAAACAGGGTTTATTAGGTTTGTTACTGGTTTATTTTATTTTAATATAGGAAAGTATAAAGACTACATAAATGGTTGTGTAAACTTACTAGGACGATAACCCAATGGAGAGTTTAAAAAAAAAGTAACAAAGTATCAAAGTTCCTTTACTATCCTAGTGTTTTCCCCAAAAGCAAACATTATAATAGTTTCTTGTATTTCAGAAAAACTTTCTAGAAAACATTTCTATTTATATTGCCGGTTATGTGTGAAAATGTATATTAACTTGTTACCTACACAAAAGGGAGAATATCACACATCCTACATTGCACCTTACTTTTTTTCACTGAATGTTTGGCGAGCTTTCCATATGAGCACATAAAGATCTGTTTTATTCACTTCATGGTTCCATAATCTTACATTGTATTGCATGCACGACATATACTATGCTTTTTATTTTTTAATTGTCTCCCAGGCAGTTGTTTGTTCCTAGTAAATAACAATATTGTGGGCATTCTTATAAAGTATATCCATAGAGCACATTTCCACAATGAAACTTGCTGAGTCAAAGGCCATATGAATTTTTTGACATATTGCCAGATGTTTGTCTTTACACCTGAGCTATCCCACTGATATAGGATACTATTAGACTCTAATTTTTACTCGTCTGATGGTTAAAAAATGATATCTCATAGTGTTTTATTTGCTTTTTAAAATTATGGTCTACTAGAATTTTTGTGTGTGTAAACTGCCTGGCTGTCCATATATAAGGACATTAGCTTTTTGTTGTTTATGTTGCATATGGTTTTCCCCAGCTTGTCATGTTTCCTTTGACTTTATGATGTTTGCAAAGGCTTAATATTTCTAGGTGGTAAATTAATTTTCTTCTTTATGACTTCTGGACTTTTTATCCTGCTTAGAAAGGATTTCCCATTCCAAGATTATACATAAATCCACTCATTCCTTATTCTAGAACTTCTTGGTTTCCGTTTTTACATTTCAGACTTTGACTCATATGGAATATGTTTTGATGTAATGAGGTAAAGATTGAGCTTTCCCTCTGTTTTCATGTTTTAAAAAGTTAGCCAGTATGGTGAATTGAAAATAGGAAGCATGACCAATGCATTTTATTTTTCTTAATCATGCCATTTTTGATAAGAAAGACTTAATCATTGTGTTTCTATGTGTTTATAAATGTTTGGAGGGTTCATTCTCTATCCACTAAATGAATATAGGGAAAAGGCTGTGGACTTTATAACTAGTAGACTAAGTCTAGGGAATAAAATGAGGTTCAAAGCAGAATTGCATGGTACTGTATTTTAGATTATTTCCTCTTCATTCAAATTATGTTGGCAAACCACAGGAATGAGAGAAGTTCAGAGGCAGCAATGTTTGCCATGGACTAGAAGATCGCTTTAATAAGATGAAACACATTTGCACATTTATGCAGTGCTAAGGGCTATCATATAATCTCATTTTTATTGTGACTATCCCGGCTGCACATGAAATTAAGTGTCTTCCCAGGATCACAGTATTAGAAAGTGACAGAGCCAGGATTCAAACTCTGGTGTCCTAGTCTCCTGAGGCCAGTGTTCTGTTGATTACCTTGCACCTAGTGTTATGTCATGTCTGGTGGTTTATGCTTCAAATATTATGCTATCTGAGCTGGGCGTGGTGGCTCGCACCTGTAATCCCAGCACTTTGGGAGGTGGTGGTGAGAGGATTGTCTGAGTCTAGGGGTTCGAGACCAGCCCGAGCACCTTGGTGAGACCTCGTCTCTACAATAAATGGAAAAATTAGCCAGGCGTGGTGGCACGTGCCTGTGTTCCAGCTACTTGGAAGGCCAAGGAGGAAGGACCACCTGAGCCCATCAGGTTGAGGCTGTGGTGACTGTGAGCCTGCCACTGTACTCCAACTTGGGCAACAGATTAGGACTCCTACTCAAAAAATGATAAAATAACAACAATAAATACTACTCTATCTGAACCCAGCTATGCACATTGAGGCATATTTTAATAGATTCACACTGCACATTATACCAACATGTAATAGGACTTGAGTAAACAAAAGTCAGCACAAAGTGAACTTTACTGAGTAATATTCAACTCTTTAGAATGCTGATGTTTTCACTGATATTATTATGTGGTTATTAAATTAGATCACAAAACTTGCTTTTCTTTTAAATAGAAAATGTTATCAATCACACGGATGAAGAAGGATTTACTCCTCTGATGTGGGCTGCAGCACACGGGCAAATAGCTGTGGTAGAGTTTCTACTTCAGAATGTAAGAAAATGAATATGCACAGTTACTTCAGTTCAGTTAAGTCTTGAGTAAAGTTTTCATATCTCCAGCCAGCTAGATATACTAGTAGAGAAGACCAAAAGAACGTGTAAGGCTTTTCATATTCTCCTGGAAGTTGGATCTAGCTGGGAAGGCCAGACTAGGCATATAGGAAGCAGAGAGAGAGAACGCAATGCCCGGCCCCCTCCAAGTGCAGCAGGGATGAAAGCACTGCAAGCTGTGTAGGCGAAGGCTTCACGGAGGAGCTGCGACTGAACTCAGAGTGAAAGAGTAGCAAGGAATGAGACTGATGGGGAAGGCTGGAGTCCAGACAGGCTTGATCACAAGTGCGTCCGTGAATAAAGGGTTATCTTACGTTTTTATTAATCCCGGAACATTACCTGACTTACGTTGAACTGTCCCTGTTGTTGACAGGAATAATCATCTTCTCGCTTAAATTCACTGAAAAGCCTTCTGTTTCCACCTCCCACGCCAGGGTGCTGATCCCCAGCTTTTAGGAAAAGGTCGGGAAAGTGCGTTGGCATTGGCCTGTAGCAAAGGCTACACAGATATTGTCAAGATGCTGCTTGATTGTGGAGTTGACGTCAATGAGTATGACTGGGTAAGTCGATGATTCTAAATTCAATTTTTGAACTAATGTATTTTTTTAGTGCATGTATAGGTCCGTTACATAGCTTTATTGTGTGATGGTGAGGTTTGGGCTTCTGCTGGCCCCGTCACCCGGGTAGTGGGCCTGGCACTCAGGGGGATGTCTAAATTTTAAGTTTCTGTAACAAATCCTAGAATGTATTTCGTTTGGGAGAGATACAACACATTTGATTAAAGAAAAATAAAGAAGAATACCTGGAAGAAAAAGTGACTGTCACAAACTCAATTATTTGTGCTGATTGAAGTATTCTTCACAAAATATTAAAAGTACTTTAAACGATTACATACTCAATTCTTGGTAAAACTTCCCACAGCAGCATTAAATTATTTGCTCACCCTGAAAACTCAGTTACCTTCTCCTTTTGCAGAATGGAGGGACACCTTTGCTTTATGCTGTACATGGAAATCATGTGAAATGTGTCAAGATGCTCTTAGGTAAGCAGATAAAAGTGAGACTTTTTTAGATGCCATGTGAGGACTTCATTTCATCCCTTCGACCTGGCCTCCCCTGGTATCACTCAGGAGAATGTTGGCTGCTGCCAGATGCCTTCATCCTGCTGCTGTTTGCCCCTGGGGCAGCTGCCCTGCGGTGTTGCCCACACGAGAAGCCGCTCCGTCACGCCCGGCAGGTGTAGCTGGACCTGTTCTCATTGCTTTCACTCGGGGGACCATATTTGAATCAACTGTTGTTTTTGCTCATAGTGTCTTTATGCACGAGCTTTGGCTCGAGATGTTATGCATTTCATCTGCTCTGGAGGATGCCTGTTTGTTTGCAGTGAATTCTGGGTACCCCCTGTACCCTGTATTTTGTCTGACCATCCTGAAAATAGTCTCCAAATTTGCTGGAAATCAGTCCAGATGTTTGCATATGAGCCAGTAGTACAAAAACATATTCACAGTCTCATATTTATGTAGATTTTTCTATTTTGGTATAGAAAATGGAGCTGACCCAACAATTGAAACCGATTCTGGATATAATTCTATGGATCTAGCTGTAGCCCTGGGCTATAGAAGTGGTAAGTATTTTGGAACTCCTGCATTTCATCTTAGTAAAGCTCTGTAAATAGTGTCAAGCCAGAGGACCAAACCATCGCTTGTAAAACATGTTATCCTAACTCCTGACATACACTTTTAACTGTGGGAAAAGTCAATGGGTTCTTCCTACAAAGTCTAGAAATTGAGTTTGTTACAATACTTTTCACAGCCCAGATAACTAGTGCTGGAGGATGAATGTACACTTATTTACAAAATTTATTTAATATTTTGATAGCAGGCTATTTATAGAACAATCTTAGAAGAACCTTGTGCTTTGGGTTCTTTATTCAATTTCAAAAATTTAGAAACCAAGACACAAAACATTCAGTAACTTGGACAGTTACTAAGTCAGTGACAAACTGAATTTTAAAGTTTTTGAAGTATTGCATTATCTTATTGTCCTCGGATTATGGCTGCATCCTACTTAGACGTAACTTTATTGGGTATAAGCTGAAGTGAATCTCTTAAAAAATTTTTTAATCAGTGTGCTGTGATCTTGACTACCTGTCTGTTCTAGTTCAACAGGTTATCGAGTCACATTTGCTAAAGCTGCTTCAGAATATCAAGGAGTAGACATAGTCATCAGAAAATGTCATCTGCCCTTTTGTTTACTTTTTGGTCCTTATAAATGATAGTTTTGTTTACCTATAAATTTTTACCTCAGTTGCAATATTTACTGATTTTTAGTAAGTTTTAATCTTTCTCTGAGTAATTCACTGGTTTATAATAAATTTAATGTTAATATGTTTTTATGAAGGTGTTTTACTGTATATTTTAAATTATAAATTAATGTTTTGTGGCATGTAAATTTTTATGGTACAAATAGTTATCTGTCTTTGTATCAAGTGCTGTAATTTGACATTTTCAGAAATTATACTATCCTATTCATCTTCACTTTTAACTCGTTGACTTTATATAGGGTTTGCTGTAAATCCCTGGTAAGACAATTTGTTATTGTTGAATTTAAAAGTGCACAGTGTGATTGTTTACAAAATGATATTATAAATAAATAAAGTACTTTTCTGTCATTTGGCATGTAAGTTTTCAAAATTATTTCATATTTTTAGGGATTTCTTTAGGATTTTTAGTTTCTGTCCTGTCATGACACTTCATTAGATCAAACACGTCGTTAAAATAAATTGAATGCAAGTCCATCAACAATGACTCATTGATTGTCGTTTCTAGAAGTATATTTGGAATATTTTTTTCCTGTAGATACATTTTTCAGTAGGAAAAGTTCTCTGTGAAAGAGAAGTCAGTACAAGTGAGATGCTCGTTAGTGCCGCTCAAGGAGCACCAGAAACTTGTTTCACTGAAGTGCAGAAGAGAGAGCCACCCAGAGTTTGCATCAGAGGTCACGAAGAGCTGTGCAGGGAAACGACGTTGTGGCTCCGTTAGGTTAATCCCCTCAGACATGACCTTCAAAAGTGATCACATAGTTTTCGAAAGTTTGCAAGACAGGGCTCTCATACACAGCAACACGTGACACACATTTTATTTGGCATATTAACTAGTGACGAAGCTGGTAAGGGATGGAAACTGGCTGCAAGAGCATGGGGTGGGGGGCCGGACACGTGGCCACACAAAGGGCACTGGGTCCCCAACCAGGGGACGTGAGGGCCTGGTGGAAGCCCGGACTTCACCTGCATGCAGCCTGCGTGTGTGGTTAGTCCTGACTTGTACCCCGAACCTCAACAACAACAACAATAATAATAAGCCTTGGAGAAGCTGGGGGATGTTTTGACAACATCAAGATTACTCGTCTCTTAATATCCTAATAACTTAATATCATCCTATCAAACCTAGCTAATGTTCAACGGGTCATAAATTGCTATTTGGGGAATCTTTTCCATGAAACAAACTGTTTGCACCTTTACCAGACAAAAATCTTCAAAAATAACTTCACTAATTCTGAGACCTTTAATAAATAGTAAAGGCTGGACCAAGTTACATTTTTTTTATAGCAGCAACACAGTGACTACTTATACATTCAATTTCTCTAGAAAATCCTTGGGTGGTCTTTGTCCCTTATGACATTGAAAGGACATGTCACTATGACCTTTTAGTACTTCAGTGAAAGCCAGGCTGGGATTAAGGTACTCACCCTTGTAATTTAATCTCTCTTCTTTCATCACCTGGGAGGCAAACTAATATACGTGTCCTGAAGTGTTGGTGACAACACTTTTCTTGCATCACCCTGCCAACTAAACAACGCAATTCACTCCCGAGTCAAACACGGTGAAAAAAGCTGCAAATGAACTCTGCATGAAAAAGGTTTATATTTTAAATATTCTTATTTTATTTTATTTATTTATTTTTTTGAGTCAGAGTCTCACTCTGTCACCCAGACTGGAGTGCAGCGGCCGCTCCTGGCCACCACAGCCTCGACCTGCTGGGCTCCAGCGATCCTTCCGCCTCAGCCTTCCGAGTAGCTGGAATTACAGGCATGCGCTACCACGCCCGGCTGATTTTTTGATTTTATTGTAGCGATGAGGTCTCACCAAGTTGCCCAGGCAGGTCTCGAACCCGCAGGCTCAGGCAATCCACTCACCTCGGCCTCCCAAAAGCACGGGTTTACAGGCTGAGCCACTGAGCCCGGCTTATTTTAAATATTCTTTACAAAAATATGCCAATAACTTAGATGAATGTGTTTTTAAGGAAAACCTAATTGATTATTTTAACCATTACACAATAAAGATTTTTTAAGTTTGTAGCTTTGAAATTCTTTTGAAAGTGTCAACTAGCCTCTTGATTTTAAGAAAACACTCTAAGATTTCACGGCCCTATGTTTTTATCTTTATATAAAGTGTGGGCGCAGTGATTCATGCCTGTAATCCCAGCACTTTGGGAGGCTGAGGCGAGAGGATTGCCTGAGACCTGAGTTTGAGACCAGCCTGGGCAACATGGTGAAACCTACAATAAATCAAAGTATACATGGTTGGTGCACATTTCTAGTCCCAGCTATTTGGAAGACTGAGGCTCCTGCCAGATTGCTTGAGCCTAGCAAGCTGAGGCTGCAATGACCATGATCATGCCACTGCACTTGAGCTTGGGTGACAGAATGAGACTCAGACTCAAAAAAAAAAAAAAAAAAGTTAAGACTTGAAATTCTTTTATTAGAGCAAACTGGTTACACATACATATATACATACATACATATGTATAATCTAGATGCTTTGTGCAAGTTATGTCACTGAATACTTATATTTCCAGGAAGTGGCATTAATGTATTCATAGCTGTTAAGTGATTTGCTGTGTGACGGATACAATGTTTACAAATCTGAGAGTTATAAATTGAATAAAAACAGAACAAAGGGCAGGACAAACTCTGTTATAAAAATTCTTAAACTTAAGTGTTCTTTCTCTTTGATATTTAATTTTTTTCTGACAGCCCTTCTCATATTTACCCAACTAATGAGAGCTTCAAAAATTCACCCCCTTACTCTTTTGTAGTGGATACTACCGATAAAACCCAAAATGGCAGCAGTAACTTTTCACATTTTTTGTTGTCCAGAAACTTTTACAATAAATGAGTAATACTGGTTTTATTGTAAAGATGTGAATAAGGACTAACATGATTGAAATGTTTTTAGGTGTGCATTTAAACAGGAAATGCAATCATGTAAGAGAAGAAGCACAATGCAAAAGAGAATTATGTAAATATTATTTGATTAAAGTAAACCTCACAGGTTTATTCTGTCTTCGGTGTACATTTTCCTCTTCAGATAAAGCCCTTTCCGTTAGACTATGAGCCGTGTGATACCAACTGTGTGCCCAGAAACATAATCCACCTGCTTTTTACACCATGTCCATGACTGGAAGCAAGAAACTTTATTATTGGGGTTGTTATGCTCTATGGGATTGAAATTAGCACACTCACTGCTTGCTGAGTTTTCCTCTTTGAAATGGAGTTCAGGCTACCTCATGACATGTTTGCCCAATGTTTATTTTGTATTCATAAATTCAGTAAAATTATTCTCCATTTGATGGATTCCAAATGTCAACTGTTCTCCAAAGTGACAGATTTGCTCATGTTACTTTATTTAAAATTCTTAAGGCATTTACAATTTTTAGATATTTATTTCCCCTCTTCACATCCTCAAGTCGGTTCTAGTCAGATACATTACATTTCCCAGAACCAATTAGTGGAAAGCATCCCCAATACCTTCTTGGGGGTCAGTTGATCTGTTCACCATCTCTTCTGCAAAGGTTAAATGTTGGAAATGGGAAATACCCCCCAACAGTTATTCCATCCTTCAGCACACATGCATGGAACACGTACTCTGTGCCAGGGACCGCACGGGGCCCTGGGATACTGTGGAGACCCACACAGTGTGATCCCCTGCTCTGCCTAGAACGAGCTCCTCTCAACCCATACAGCCTGGGAACAAATTAACGTGTAGTGTTATCAAGTTATGGCTGCAGCTCTCGTAGGCTAAGCCTTCTGCTGCATTGCACCATCAGTCTTCCTAACTGACCCAAGAGAAGCCTCTATCTTCTTGGGGAGGATGGAATCCCTTACAGTGGTGGAGGAAGTTCCACTCTAAGTGCATGAGTTCTCCTCCCAGGACACACAGTGGAATCATCTGGAGCAGTTTGAATATACTGAGGCATGGGAATCACCCAGAGGGTCAGCTTTGATCAGCCTGGGCTGCCCCATGGAGGGTTCTAACAGCTTCCAGGTGATTCGAATGCACAATCGAGGCTCAGAACCACTGCTCTGGCGCCTGAAGATGCAGCAAATCGATCCCTCCAGTCCAGTGGCCTGTGAAAAATGCGCTCGGAAGTGGCCCTCAGCAGGTAAGAAGATCATTGCTGAATTTCATGGTTTTGTGAATGGCTTAACTTATTTATAACTTATGGGGCAAAGATTAAAAACAGTTTATATATTTATTTTGACTGGAGATGGAATGTGTTTAAGTATGCCATAGCTTTACTAAAACATGTCATTATAACAAAATCATGAATTTTGCAGCAACCTGGATGGAACTAGAGTCTATAATACTGAGTGACCTCTCACACAGAAACAAAGATCTGAGTATCACATGTTCTCACTTATACGGTGGACCTTGAACATCTACCATAATACTATGAGAAAAGGACTGACAGTGGTGGGAAACTATGGGGAGGGGAAGGGAGGGGAAGGGAGGTGGGACTAACGGTAGTCAATATCTGTCTGGGGGCGGGGAGACACCCCTTATTAACAAGGGTGCCTGAACGATGCACATTTGTATACCTAACCCTTAACTGTACCCCACAATTTTATAATAAAAATATGTTTAAAAAATGTTATTATAATGAAACGATTATAAAGATGTGGTTGGTGCATGTTACATGTCAGCAGATGCATATTGATGTTTATGAAAAGTTGGTTATTGGAAGTGACTGGTGGTGGCTATGACTGTGCTTTTTTGGCCCCTGGGAACCCTGAAGGCCTAGGTGGGACACAGGCAGCAGCTTCCACCCCCACCAACTTGGTCACGTGGAGTTTACCCACCACTGTCCTCCAGGTAAAGCTTCCCAGGAGCCAGAGTCTGGGAGAATCTTGCTGACCCTTCAGGTGCCTCTGAGTCACTGGCTGCAACAGAGAGAAGTTGTGATTGGGTGGGTCTTGGGACTGACTAGAGGACTCCTGCTTGGCAAGCCTCTGTTATTCATTCTTGAAAAAACTAGAAATGTCGCCTTTTTTATGATTCGGCTCTGAAGGCATTTCCTCTGCAGTAGAAAGGGAAGGAACAGCCTTGACCGCACTGATGACAGTAACTCATTTGGGGTTGCAGAACATGCTGGCGCACATATGGCTCAGTAGAGGGAGGTTTCTGGGAGAGGCGCCTCTCGAAGACTCAGTCCTCTTGTCTTATCCTTAGGAGGCACTCGGTGAACGCTTGTGGAGTAGAAGGAAGGGAGCGGCGAGGGAAGGAGGATGACAGCAGAAAGGAGGGAAGAATTGGAGACGCTGGTCCAAACCCTCAGGAAGCAGGAACCTTTTAGGAAAAGGACACTGTCGCCCCAAGGGAGTCACTAAATT